TCCCAGGACTCCTCATTGTCTGTACAGCTAAGCCAAGGGTAGGGTACCCTGTCATTCAGTCAAAGCCACTGTCCACGCTCCCACGTGTCTGCCTAGTGTTTTACCTTCTGCTCTGCTTAGGCTCAGGTCAGCCGCCACCTCCACCGCTTGGCCACCCCCTGGCCTGAAATACTATTTATCTTCCTTGAAGATGTAGACGGTACACTTAGCATCTCAAAGTGTTTTTGTCAATACACTACCAAACACACGTCCATCCGGCAATTCAGGGCTCACTGTCTGCAGCATCTGACCTGTTTCACATGACATGGTACTGCTATTTAATGTTTTGCCTCTTTGTGTCTCCATTTCCTGATCACGTTGAAAGCTCCTTGTTCTGCAAGCACCAGCCATGTCTTACGTCGCTTGTGTGCCCTAGCCTATTGCTCCAAACAGAGGAGTTGCTCGTTAAATACTTAACCAGTTTAGGAGGGGAAAATCTTAAGTGCACTCTTCTCCACAAAGGTCTTGAAAGTCAGCAACCTGTTCTGGAAAGTACAGAAACGGACTGCCTTTCCAAAAGGCTCCAGCCGGGGCTGAGGCAACACCCCCTAAGACCCACTTCCTCTCACCTCCACAGACAACTCAGATCATAAACTCAGGAGCTTCGCCGGAAATACCTGCCAGGCGTCAACGCAGATCCCGGCGAGGAAATTCTGCAGAGGTCCCTGGTTCTAACCCAACTTGTGGCTCCTGACACAATAATCCCCACAGTCAGAGCAGGCTGGAGCCGGAGCGGAGTGACAGCACATCAGGCCCCCGGGGGTGCACACACGCCCGCCTGCACGCACTCAGACAGGCATAACATCCTCAGCAGAATTCTGAAACGTCCTTCCCAAATAGCCCGTGGAATTGAATTTCTGATATCTGAGTGCGTACGTGGATATGCATTTTTCCATTACTTGTTTACGCAGACTATAAAACATCACTGTAGCGGAGTCGCCAATTTATGAACAGGTTGCCGGCTTCAAGTTCATTTGTTGGCTATTAGGAACTTAGAACGTATTTTTCCCCGGAAGCAAGAGCATGCATAAGCTTACTTAACCCATAACGCACTGCGCTTTAATATCACAAAGCGATTTTCTTTCTATTCACCAGGGGTTTGCAAACTCAAATGCACGTAGTGGCCAGGTGCATGGTGTAAGTCAGGAGACCGGGGGCTGATGGAGGCTGTGCTGCGCATGCGCCGTCTGAAGAGGGCAGCCCCCTCCCCAGTTCCAGCCACCGGAGCTCCTGGGAAAACGCAGACCCGATGCCGCACATCAGGAGACGCCAAAAACCGGTATCTTACGTGAAAATAGTTGGCAACTAATTAGAAAAAATTTTATACACGGTACAGATGAAATAAGACACATTGTTGGGCAGAAAATCAGGCTCATACTTGCAACCTCCACTCAGTAATGTTGCTTTTTTTTGAGAGGAAAAAAAACATTTTAATTTCTACAGGTCAACACCAGGAAAGTATTTTCCCTCTTCTGGCGAGGTGGGTGGGTACTAGTCCCAGGTTAAGGCTCCACCTTGCATGAGAGAAGGCTAATATCTCTGGGGTTCTTAGAACCCAAGGCTGATGTAGGGCACCCCCCCCCACCCGCGCCGAGCCTAAATCAAACCACAGACGCCGCCCACACCTGGCCCCACTCCTTTCTGATGTGTCAGGGTCTTTTGTTAATAGGGTATGTGTGGGTCAGGAGCTGCCTGGGTTTTGCTTTATGGTATGGTGGTGGTGGTGATTATTGCTGTATTATTTAGTCTCTTTGTTTTTACTGATTATAAATGTTACAGTAAGTTTGCTATAGAAAATCTTGAAATTTTTCCCTCCTAGAAGTAAGCACTGTTCATCATGATTTCTTTTTTTTTTTCAATCTTTTCCTTTCTAATTGTTTTCACATTACGTAAGTGTAGTGGATGCCCACCACACCACCTCCCCCCAATCCAAAATTATGTCCATGTCTTAATCTCTGGAACCTGTGAATGTGACCTTATTTGGAAAAGGAGTCTTAAGGATCTTGAGATGAGAAGACCATCCTGGGTTATCCAGGTGGCTCCTAAATCCAATGACAAATGTCCTTATATGAGACACTCAGAAGAGGAGGAAGCAGCGGGAGTGTGGAGGCAGGGACTGGAGCGACACAGCCACAAGTCAAGGAATGTCCACAGCCACCAGCAGCTTGAAGACACCAGAAGCGGATTCTCCCCTAGAGCCTGGGGAGAGAGCATGGTCCTGCCAGATTTCAGACTTCTGGCCTCAAGAACTGCGAAAGAGTAAGGTTCTGTTTGGCCAATTTTATGGTAATTTGTTAAGGCAGCCTAGGAAAATCATGCAACAATACATGACTAAAAGGATGTATTAATTCAAACAATACAGGACTATGTAAAGTAAAAGAATGAGAGTCCCCCACAGGCCACACAGACCCCTCTATTGGGTGACAACCTTTCTAGGCCTTTTCCTTTGCACGTCTCTCTCCCTCCCTCTCTCACACAAACACATACACACACAGACATGTGCACATAAATATACTTATACATCTCTGTGGTTTTTTTAAATAAATGAAACCATAGCTATGCTGCTATTTGCTCTTTTTAAAATTCAATATTTCCAGGGGATATTTGCATGTGTGTACATAAAGATCAGCCTTCTGCTTCTCAGGGACTGCGGCATATTCTATAAACATAGCCAATGTCCTTGTCTTCAGTGAGTCTAAACTTAGTAATAATATTACAATGATAAATCAAAGTTGACTCTTCACTTGGCTACAAGAGAAGTTATTTCCTCCCTTTTCAGACTATACAGTAAACATATATAGCGTGTGTGTGTGATTAGCACTGTTCAGCAAATACTTCTATCTTCTGCCCTTGGAACTGGGTGTGACCAAGCAACTTGCTTTAGGAAGTGATATGTGAGCAGAAGTCACTGGTGTCATTTCCAGCTGGAATCTTTAAGAGCAGATACACAATTTGTCTCATTATTTTTTCCCTGCCAAGCAATTACAGAAGCACTAAAGGGAGCTCCACCAGCCAAGGTCTCTTGGTAAGGATGACACAGAGTGCAGGAACATATGATGTGAGCAAGAAATAAAGCTTTGCTTACCATATGACCCAGCAGTCCCACTCCTGGGCGTATATCCAGAAGGAACCCTAATTCAAAAAGACACCTGCACCCCAATGTTCATAGCAGCACTGTTTACAGTAGCCAAGACATGGAAACAATCTAAATGTCCATTGACAGATGACTGGATAAAGAAGTTGTGATATAGTTATAAAATGGAATACTACTCAGCCATAAAAAAGAATACAATAATGCCATTTGCAGCAACATGGATGGACCTAGAGATTGTCATTCTAAGTGAAGTAAGCCAGAAAGAGAAAGAAAAATACCATATGATATCACTCATATGTGTTATCTAAAAGGAAAAAAGACAAATTAACATATATATAAAACAGAAACAGACTCACAGACATAGAATACAGACTTGTGGTTGCCAGGGGG